CAGGATGCACCTAGAGTGTAGCTAGTGGCTACCTGGGGTTGTTAGGCCGAGGACTGCGGACCTACTCTGTGAGCTGGCGGGAATTCCTCCAGGGATCAAGCAGACTGACTGGGAGTCCTGGGACCTAGGTTCACTGGCCATTGTGTTTTGCTCGTCCTACTGGATGGTTGATTGGGAAATCGATCGATTAAATGGCTATTTTATTAGTTGTCTGGTTGGCAATTGTTGATCAATTGACTAATTAGTTGACTAGCTGGTCAGTTTGTTGGTTAACTGATACAGATGGTTGGATGGAAAGTCGTTTCATTAGTTCTCTGATGGGTTCACTGCCTTGTTGTCCAGTTGCACGGGTGGGTGGCTGGTTGACTGTCTCCCTGACACAGTCCTGGAGGCCCCGTCACTGTTTGGTTTTCAGGTTCGTCACACCTAATGCCCTTCCTTCCTGTCCTTCCACAGGCGCTTGTCCGGCTGCCTCCCCACATTTCACAGTGTGATGAAGTCTTTCGCTTCTTTGAGGCCCGACCGGAGGATGTCAACCCCCCAAAAGAGTAAGTAAGAGCACAGGCCTCATGCATGTTTGGGGGTGTGGGCTAAAGCAGAGGCCAGCCTGGAGAGGCTGAGAGGTGGGCACCCAGCTGGATGGAGAGCTGGTGAGGCCAACCAGGAGAAGGTGCCATGGGCTGAAGGAACAGGGACCTTTGCTCCCCAGGCTCCTGTTGCCAAAACTTGCTCCCCTCTCCCTTTAGCCAGGCTGGCAAACAAGGGCATCTCTGTATTTGGGAAGCAGATTTCCCTGCAGACTTTGTAGCTCACAGGTAGTTGGAAGGTGACTGACTCTCACTGTCACACCGTCCGGACGCTGCTGAGCTAGTGGTTGTTCCTGGGCACTGTGGATGCTGCAAGGCTCCCGGCGGGAGTGTGGGAGTGCGGTGCACGCACTGCCTGGGCTAGAACTTGCCGCTGAGTATCTGCTCTCCCAGGATGCTGTGCAGCAGTCCTCAGCTCCACTGAAAGTAACAGTGTGTTCTTAGGTGGCTTTTAGCCACAACTAATAAAATAACCATTTAATCGATCGATTTACCAATCAACCATCCAGTAGGATGAGCAAAACACAATGGCCAGTGAACCTAGGTCCCAGGACTCCCAGTCAGTCTGCTTGATCCCTGGAGGAATTCCCGCCAGCTCACAGAGTAGGTCCGCAGTCCTCGGCCTAACAACCCCAGGTAGCCACTAGCTACACTCTAGGGCTCACATGCCCTACACCCTGACTGCACGCTGACTTACTGAAAGACAAATCAGACAATGGGGTGCTCCAATGGAGCTTGGTAGGACCTAAGAGGGTTGGGGGAGGGTATGTCAGAAAGGACTCTTTGAGGCTAAATTCGAAAGGACGGGTTAGCCAGGCTTCATGATAGACATCAGTGGGCCTTTTTACAGAGGAGGAAACCACGACTTGGTGATGGGAGGTGGTTAACCCAAGTCAGACAGCCATTTGATATGTGACAGGCCGAGACCTGAACAGTCTGTGGTTCCGAGTAGCCCAGAACTGGCTATTTCCATGTTTATAGAAGAAAGGGGAGCCACGCCTTTTTTTTTTTTTTTTTTTAGAGATTTTTGCTATAGGACACGTGCACTTACCAGAGAGACAGAAAACAGTGTGGGAGGAATGGCCACATTGCAGTCCCTTCTCCTCCACCCTCCTACTGGGATTTCGGGCATGCATGTACATGCACCTGGCATGAGTTTTAAGCCGTCCGGTCCAGGACTCATACACAGTGGACTGTGTGGGACAGCGACATAACTGTCATGCCATTTGCTGGTTTTTTTCTGCCTGAAGTCTGGAGCCTCTAGGCCTTGGGGTCAAGCCATCCCACCCAGGCTGGTTTCTCACACCTGTGACCGAATCCCATCCCCATAGCCACCTTCTCTTTCTCAGAGCAGCTCCCTCACTGGCAGTCCCAGGGGTAGGTTCTTCACAGAAGGAAACACCAGTTTAGGAAAGAGGGTTGGGGAGAGGGCTGAAGGGGGCACTAGCTGATCACCCCACTCCATACTTGGTCCTCTGAAATCGCAGAGTACCAGCCAGGGTGTGTGAGAGGCGTTTGGGATGAGTACGACAGAAGGCAAATGAAGGAGCAGGGCGGAGGAACTGTCTGGGACAGGTGGGGAGAGGCAGGGGCCATTGGGGTGGGAAAGAAAGTCTAAACACAAGCACAGCCCAGGGTGGCATTCCCACGGCGCGCTCGGAATCGGTGCCCTGGCAGGTTGCAGAGTGCACGGCCTGTCCTCCCGTATGTTGCAGAGGACCCCTCTCCTTTATCCATGCTGTAAGACTAAGAGCCTGAAATAGTCTGGGCCCTTTGAGGGAGGAAAAAGCAACTCACTCAACCCAACTCACTCGCCCGGCCTGGAAAGTTATCGCCACTGCTGGCTGCCAGGCTGCGAAGCGTCAGACGCTCAGCGGTGACCTAGTTCACAGTGCAAAGTAGTTGAAAGCCACAGGGGACACAGCATGTAGGGTCTGAATCCACATCCCAGCTGCACAGTGACCAGCTGCGTAACCTCAAGACAGATCACTGTGTGGCTTCCCCAAGTCCCGCTTTGCTTATCTGTAAAAAGGAACTAGAGGTTGGGCCAGCCAGGTGGCCTGGTGGTTAAGGCGGCTGGATCCCACATGGCTGACCACATGGCTCAAGTCCCAGACCCAGCGGCTTAAGGAAACACTGAGCTAGTGTATGCAGAAGCATGGAAAATGATTACAGAAACTGGAGACAGAGCGCAAAGAGGGTGGGAGCGGGGGAGAGAAAGGAAGGGAATCAAGGAGAAAAATAGAGAGGCAAGACATTTATGGGACACAGAAATGGAGGATTGATCATGTGTATGGTACCTTCAACGGGACTGGTGTGAAGTATATTCGTGTGGGATAAATTCACTTTTCAAGTAGCAACAATGTGTAGTGACTGAATGTATAAAATAAAAATAAAAACAAAGCACTGAGCACATGTGCACGCGTGCCCAAAATCGCAGAGGAGAATGGAGAAGGGACTGCAGCGTGGCCATCCCCCTGGGGGTACTCCTCTGTCTCTCTCGGTATGGTGAGTAAACATGCCCTATAGCAAATTTTTTTTTTTAAAAGGAATGGTAGTTAATTCCTGTTCTCGTTTACCACCAAGGGTCATCTATGAAACACTGGAGAGTTTGCACAAGAAGTTATATTTTCTTTTTTCAAATTATTTGTTTGTTGATTTATTTAATAGAGATTTTCTGCTACAGGGCACGTGTGCTCACCAGAGAGACAGAAAGCGAGAAATCATCCCCCGGGGGGATGGCCACGCTGCAGTCCTTTCCACTGAGTTTTAAGCCACCAGCTCTGGGACTCGTACTGCAGTCAGCTACATGGGAGTCCAGCGACGTAACCATTTCACCATCTGCTGGTCCCAATTTTATTCATTTTTATTATTATTTTTGCTATAAGGCACATGCACTCACCAGAGAGAGACAGAGGGAGAGAGAGAAAGCAAGTCACCAGGTCTGGAACTTGAACTGTGGTCAGCCACCACCCCACCTGCTGGTCCCAGGAGTTCGGTTTTCCTGTGTGCACGTGACAGATAAGGAAACAGGATCACAGCTAGGACAGGGATGTGGACCCAGAATGTCCAGGTCCCAGGCAGAAGCCTCTGGTCCCTCTGTCCCTTCTGCCTGCCTCACTGGTTGGGGCCTGTGATCTGGAGGCTTCTCAGCATCCGCCCTGTTCTCCCCGTTGTGCTCTGCCCCTTTCCCCTTCGCTCTCCCGCAGCAGAGGAAGCCCCTCGAGCAGAGTCCCTGGGTCCCACCTGGCCCAGCTTGATGGTCGCTGTTCTTACTCATGGGAGAGGAGCTGCCCCCCGTATGTGTGGGGGGGACGAGGAGCTGTTGGTGGTTCAAGCAGCGGTGCATCACCGTAAAGCAGCCGACCCCGCTGATGACCCAGTCCTCTCACCCCTGCCCTCTGCCCGTCATCTATGTAAGTTGGCCGTGTGTCGTGGGTAGACCCGCCTACCCATGGCAGGAGGGCAGCCCTTCGCCCAGCTCTGGAAGACCTTGAGGCAGGATGGAGACCAGGCTCGGTGAGGGTTGTGTGCTGGTGAGGCGGCCGGCAGAGCTCTGGGGCGCCGGGCTCTGTGATCTTTGACCATTTGCTCCACCTCTCTGATTGCGTCTTCGTCTCTAAAATGAGGAAATGCTGAACCCATGGGGTGGCCAAGAGCATCCACTGAGAGCACAGCCAGGCAGGCTGTCCCCGAGGAAGTGCTCGCATGGCTCAGGAAGGCTGGGAGCTGGATGGAGTGTGGCTCGGCCGGCCTGGCTTCTGGGTTGGGGAGGCAGTAAAGCCCTTGGCCTCTAAGTTACCATAGCAAGGTGGTACTGGCCCCCGGGCAAGAACAGGAGTCCCTGAGCCCCAAGACAGACATGAGGCTCAGGAAGTGGGGCCAGCTGTGCCAGGCAGCTCCGAAGGGTTCTCCCCCCTGACCCGGCTATCTCTAGAACCCACCAGGAGAGACCTGAGCCGCTCTGCAGAGAGTGCTCGCTGAGACAGCCCAGGCCAAGTGCCTGCACCCCCTCCCCAGGCTGCTCTCACCTTCCCAGCCACTGTGCACCTCCCCTCCTCAGTCCTGAAATATAAACACAGGATCAAGTAGCAGCGTGTTTTGACTCTGGGGCGACTGTGGAGTGGCTTATCAAATTATCAAAGCCTGCGGATTTAATTGGAATTTTGCAGATAACCCCCGGTCCCTTTCAAGTGTGCTGGCCTCAGGGGCCCTCGAGAATTTACGGGGGCTGGGGCGAGGGGACCCGCTTCCTTTTCCATCTCAGAGGCAGACAAAGCCTGAGATGGCCCAGACTTGGCGGTGGACGGTGGACGCGGGCAGGCCCAAATCCCGCAGCTTTGATCCAGGCTGCCCACTGGCTCCTGCGGAGAGCTGGGGCCACCTCCGGATGGAGGACTATGGCTGCTCCTGAAGGCCAGCGGCCACGCAGGGAGGAGGCTCTTCACAGGCACCTTGGATGGGCTCGGCACGGAGTGGCCGTGGTGGTCGCCTCTCTGGTAGCCACCTGGGATGGTTGCTCTGGGGCCCAGAGTCCTCCCTCTTCACCACAAACGCTGGCCGGCCTGTGTTGCCATAGCATGGGAGGCAGTTGGGCGCTTTCCTGGAGCTCTGGTTTAGGCCCAGACCTGGCTTTTGATCATAGATTCGCTTCTGTGCTTCACGCCCATCCCCTGTCCTCTGACTGCAAATCCTCAGGCACTACCTTCCCACTCTGACCGTCTTACCTCTCCCCTGCCGGCGCACACCGGCCATGGCTCCTGCCTGCCCCGCCCCCACACAGAGTAGGAAGGAGCAGGGCTGGAGGCTGGGAAGCCCTAAATCTAGGCCACGGCAGGGCGGGGTCTGGCCACGGCCCACTTCCTTGCTCACAGTCGCCTTTACGCTGTGTCCTCCCCGGGTGGAAAGGCAGGTGAGCTCTCCGCGCCCCTTGCAGAAGGCTCTCATCCCACTCCTGAGGG